GGGGAGGGGGGGTTAATTGTGATCTATTAAAAATTGATTGACTAATTGTGGGTTTAGTCGACTAGATTTCACGCAGCAAGTAGGTAAAGTAGAGATAAAGTGAACGAATTGAAAACTAAAGAAGACACATCAAATTTTATACCGGTTCAGTACTAGTGTGGTACTTATATCCAGTTCCTTTGGGTCACAAGGATTCTCTTAGATCTTGATAAAGAATTACAACATGGATGGTTTTAGTTCGTTCACCTGCAACGATGATCAACAGTAATTTCTGGATTTGACATAACTCTCTTTTGTGTTTCCAGACCGTTATAGTGGGATTTTACTGGGTTGTTGTTGTTGTTATTGTCTCTTTTGTGTTCTAACTCTTTCTATCTTTTCTGACACTTGTAAACTTAGAAATACAATGTTTGTGCTAAGAGCTAGAGAGACTTAGAAATAGTATTTGTAGTCCTTCCTACAAACTGAATTTTTTTATGTCCTTCCTCTTTCATGTCTTCATTTCACGGAATGATTTGAGGCTTTGATTTGGTTGGTCAATCTTCTGATATGGTTCTTGAGGAATGGCCTGATATTCTCGAGCTGCACTTGATATATTTCCTTTGTTAGACAACTTCGATTTCCTTCGACTGAGACTTAATGGTGGGAACCTTTTTGATGGCTTGACTTCCTTTGATTTAGTATCATAAAATCTTCAATCTTATCTTCTAATTGTTGATGCCCTTGATGGTGCCTTAATTCCTGCAATCAATGTAGATAGAATTTAGCTTTGCACAATTGTCATTATTGAAACCTAGATGTAACAATATCCCCTTTGTGATGATGATAATAAAGAGAGAGTAAACATGTATACTTCCCTTTCATATAACTTGCGATGCTTGCTTCCACTGGGTTGTTGCTGCTCCCTCTGAGTTGCTACTTCCCTTTCAGTGAGCATGAGTTTTACCCCATCTAGACATACCTGAATTTGCTGAAAATTTTGGGAGGCGGTCGACTGAGGCTCTGATGGTTCAATTAGAGCTTCAACTTGCACTGGAACACTTTCAACTTTGGCTCACCTGACCCATCTGTCATT